CTCCCGTAACTTTCGGGTTCGCTAACTCGCCGCTTCCTGAGGCGGCCTCCGCGGAGTGGCGAGACATACGCGGTGCAAAAATCGCTTTAGGTTGTTTGAGGGGCCGGTGCGTTTGGAAAAACGCGCTGCTTTGGCTGCCTCGCGTAATGGTGCGTCTCGGGTAGCTACAGAAGGGAAAAGCCGTCTACCTGCAAAGCAAGGAGGTGTTACTGCCACCCGTACAAAAGACAATGACGGGAAAAGCTTCCAAATTTGTAACCTCTCAATGCCTGTAATTACCTGTAGTCCTGGTGAAACCGGTTGTCCAGGCTCTTGGAAAGGGAGAGTTCTGGGGTAGGTTCTCTGACTGCACTGTTAGTGCCCAGGAGGTTAAATCATGGTCCATTTTTGTGACTTGAGTTGCTTCACGCTCTATAATGTCCCCCCAAAAAGTGAATAACTGAGATTCAAATATAAGCATATTTCTCCAGCTAGTGAACAGTAGTGCAGAGTCTTCTCGGTGAGCGCTTTGCAGGTGACACAGTCCCACAATGTACAGGGGAACTTGTAAACCTGCCTGAAGTCCCTCTTGCTTTGGTAACGAAGCCTTTTAGAAACCTCATTGAACACCTCTTTGAAAACTCTGGATCAGTTTGTGAGAGAGGACTGCTGATGGAACTGTTGTTTTCTAGACACAGTATTATGGCTTAATAGCAGGAGGATGTAAATGTGTGAGTATATGTAGGTTCACTGCTACTACTGCACGCAGTTGCTACAAAAAAATTTCTCTTTTTAATAGTCGTTCTTACTACAGGATTTGCTGTCCTATTAAAAGCATCCTAAAGCATAATTTGTTGGTTCTTTAACGTTCATTCAGCATTATCTAGGATATAATCTGTGTTGGAAAAAATATAAAGTATTCTAAATAAATTCTGTTCTGAAGTAGGTCGCAAGCTGGCTTGCGTAGTAAATAAGATCTTAAAGCAAAACCTTAGCACATAAATTGGTAACGAAGCAGCAAGTTAATTTTTGGATCAATTAACCTTCATTTGCTAACCTTGACATAGTTGTGTTAGCCTACAAAAGAGAACCTTGGTATAGCTACAAGGGTTGTTTTGTCAGTGCTGTAGGACAAAATTTTTTTAAGCAGTTACAGATACTTAAAATACTACATGGAAAGTTTTCAGATCTCCTAGCAGCCAAAACCTACTTCAGTTTCAATATGAAGCCAACCAACAGAAAGTTACTAGTAAAATCTGTGTGAAGTTATTGGCGGTTGCATGAAATTCTCATCTGCCACCACACATCTTTTGTATTTACTTGTCATGTTGGGGCTTAAATTCTAAGCCTCTTTAGGCAAGTGTTGTACTGGTAAGTGATACAAGGCTTAAGGGTAAGCAGTAGTTCCATGCAGGAGACACAAGTCACAGCTGGCTGTATTACCTCTCAGAATTTCTATTTCCTGAATAGTAACCACTTTTGCTGTGTGGAAAACAGTACTTTGGCGGGGGGGGTTTTGGGGGGGAATGATTAATTTGTCTGGGTTTGCTAAGGTATTACACTTTTCAAATATTTCTTTATAGTTGGAGGGGTTGTTTGTTTAATTTTTAATGTCTTTGTAATGCTGGCATTGGTAGGAAACCACAAGGTAGGAATTTCAGGTGAAAGGTATCTGTCCTCCCTTCTGTATTGGGTATCACATTACAAAACAAACAACTATTTGAGCAATTAAACATAACAAGTTTCACTGCTTCCGTGTCTAATGGTGTGGGTTAGCTCACATTCAAGCTAATACTAAGTAATGGAATCGGTTTGGATTTTTTTTTTCTTTTTTGTACTTAACCATCTTTTTTTGCATGAGTTGTAGAATTGTAGCATTTGAATTTAACCTACTCTTGTCCTGTTCATCTAAGCTTGGTAAGAGATTTGGAAGTCAGTAATGAGGACTTTTTCACATAACCCTAATTTCTTTGGGAACCAGGGTGAAAAATGAAGCCTATGTTGACACTGTAAAAGTTACTGTAGCTCATTACAACCAATTATATAACCAATGTCTTGGGAATTTAGAATTTAAAACCACTGTCATGGAACATGAACGTCTGTTTTCCTTTGGAGTTGTGTTGCCATTTTGTTACAATATTTGAGCACTGTGATTTCCTGAAAAACCCAGTATTTTGGTAGTACAATTCTCATGATTTGTGTAGTTTCTTGCTTTTGACATTGACCTGGAGAAGGGCAGCTCAGTAATTTTATGTTCTGTAAAAGTTTTTGAAAAGACAATGAACTGGGACGATACTGTGGAAGAACAGCTGATGTGATCTGTCAGGAAGTCATATAAACATATCTTGATGGCACCCTTAGTTTAGTAATGGAAACTGGTTAATTAAGGGGTTTTTTTCCACAGAATTTTGGAAGCCTTTGAAAAAGGAGCAGTAGAAAGGAATGAGAAAGGGACAGTGAGGTCAGTGAAGCTGGAGAGTCAAGATGATGGAGAAAAGGGAAGGAACATTGAAAGGATGATTTGAAGGCATAGACCCTGAACAAAGCTTGATCTTTTTTTGTTCACAGTGAGGGAATTAAACACAGTCTCTTTCTCTAATAAATGTTTTTTTTTTATTTATTTTATATAATGTTACAAACATGTAATACACATTTATATATTATAGAATATACCTTTTAAATACATGTATCAAATGTCATAAGAAGAGGTTGCAAATAACCAATATGGCAATCAATTTGAAGGCTAAGGGAGAAAGGAAATAGTCTTTAGCTGAGGAGAGGGAGAGAAGAGCAGGGGAAGGGCAAGAGTGTGTGTGTGGGCAGGGAATTAAAGCTAAATCGCATTTACTGTAGATGCAGTTGAAAGAAACAACTGAATTATCCAAAAGAGAGAGGCTTCTATTTCGAGAAAGCAATTAAGAGAGACTTTAGAGAAGATTTCTGATGCAAAACTGACTTTAGTTTTGACCTTCTTCTGTAAAATGAAGTGTTTCCTTAAAATATAAATTACGCCTTAACAAATTGAATTTTTAATTATTTGTCTCTGAATTGTCATAACATAAGTAATCAAATGCTAGAACAAGTGTATTCGCATTCATAGAATTTTTAAAAACCTATATCTTAGATATTCAAAATTATAAACCAACCGACCTCCATACAGGAGTTAATTAAATGTTTTCTTGCTTACCACTTATTTTGTTTAAAGCAGTGCCATATGGCTCTGAGGATCCTAACTTAGTGGTCTAAGACATCATCATCACCTAGCTCTCAGGTTCAAAGGTAGTTTGTTCTTTTCTCTTTGGGAATTTGTAATCTGTGAGTAAGTCATGTGATAAGTTAGGTGCTTAGCGGTTTGCTTCTTTTGCTTAAATACAAGAAATATGGCCTTTTTTAAGATGACGGTTGACTGTGTAAATTGGATCCTGAGTTGTTGCAAAACTAGATCGTTTGTCACTAGGCCACAAAACTGACTCCGAAAACAACAACCAAAAAAAGCCAGAAAAGTATCACGGTTTGGGGTTTTTGTTTTTGTTTTGGGGTTTTTTTTTTTTGATAAGCCATATTAAGGTGGTTACTACTATAGTTGGAATTCCCATTGCAGGTTACATCTCTAAAAATCACCTTAGAGAATTTGCACTGCATCTGTAATATACCCAGACATAATAGTTGTCATTTGACAGTCACCTACATAACCCTGTTCTCGAGATTTAGCTTTGGTATCGGGTGTGGTAGCACATCCTTGTTCTGAGTTACGTAGTATTGGAAAGGATTCCAGAACCATTCAGTTGCAGTAGGAATAATTAGGATCACTTATGTGCCCCAGTTTCTGCTCTTAAATTCTCATGTCCTGGGAGAAGTGGTTGGTTTTTGACATGGTTGTTTGGGTTGTTTTGTTTGTTTGTTTATGGGGTTTTTTTGTGTGTTTTAGGTTTTTGGGGGTTTTTTTTGTGTGTTTTAGTTTGGTTTTTTTTTCTCTTTCTCCCCCCTGTAGTATAAGGCTAGGTTTACTTTACAAATGTGCAACTTTAAAAGATACGTAATTGTATTCATTTGCAACTTGTTTCAAAGCGAGTTAAGAGCTGTTTCAAAAAAGTAACTGCAGCCATTCATTAGGCACAGTAATACCTAGTTAAACAAAATACCTGATACTTTATTTTTAATTATTATTTTAAAGCAAAGCCTAGTTTTTATTCTGCATTCTTTAGACTGTAATTTAAAACAATACATAAAACATAAGCCAGATCATTTAAATTAGTGGATAGCCACTCTATTTTCTTGTTTGCAACAATATAGACAAGGTAATTGGTTTCTTTTTAACTTTTGCAACAGAAAATAAAATTACCGAAGAAAACCACCAGACGATACCCAGTATATGAGCTTTATCTCTATGGGGAAGGAAACTATGCTGAAGAAAACAAAAATCTCCTCTTGACAGGAATTCCAGTTCTCTTTCTTCCTGGGAATGCTGGCAGTTACAAACAAGGTAAGCATTTGCCTAAGTTATAGGTATGTTACAAAGAGCTCTCATATTTATGCATTACTTAATGGCAAGAAGTTTTCTGTTTGAAGTAATATCAACAAAAGTCATAATGGTTGATCATATGGTACAGATATCCTTGTTAGTCCACAGTTAATTTTAAGCAGTCAAAATACTTCATTTTTATTTGAAATCTGTTGAACTATAATATTTTTCTGGAGTAAGACTTCGACTTTGGAAAGCCAGAAACAGTAATGTTTATGCTGTACTAGGGCAGCACTGCACCCTTGCTGTGTTTTTGATGGTAAACATCTAGTTGGTTTCGATTTGAACAAGGTTTAGTGCAGTTATGCCAAAAAAAGAAGACCTGAATTTTATTAGAAGAAACTGAACAAGCTACCCTATGTGATGTGAAGTAATTAAGTGCTGTAGAAATAAGCATCATCTTGTGGCTTGCCCTGTAGCTTCATTATTTCCTACCTCGTTATGTAGTGGTGTTTTTTCCTTAGCATCATCTTCTTACATTGCACATAGCCTGCTCTTGTTTTCACATTATTCTCTTATGCTTCTAGGCTCCAAATAAAAAGAAGTAATAGTTGTAAAGCATTTTTATTTTTCATTGTGAATGCAAAAGTTAGTAGTTTGAATACGAAGTATTGTGTTTAAGCTTTTATTCCAGTATCTGGTATTTCTTCCAGGCTGGGTTTGTCAGGCCATTATTTTTATTGTCTACAATGGGCTTTGAAACAGTAACACTCTTATGACGTTAGCCAAATTGATGTGTATGTATGGGGAAAACCACCACAGTCTAAACCCTGATGTCTTACTCTTGTAATTTTTCCTTATATTTGCACTAAACTTGATTAAATTGTCTGATTTCACAGAACCTTTATAAACGTTACTTCCTTTGAGAACAAACCCTCTTAGCTTATAATAAAGTAAAATATTTTACCAACTCGTACTTTCAGAAACCCATACAAACTTGCAGCCATAATAGTATTATAGAAGTGTAATAGAAGATTACAAACATAATGATTGAGAGATACCATATGGACTTTTGTAATTGTGCATAAAGTATTGCAAATCTGAATTAATGCTGTCTCTAAAAACATGGCGGTACATCACTACGCCAGAAATAAAATAGTACCTTCCGAATATGTTAGGGATCAAAAGGAAGTATATGAAGAAAAAAACCCTTAAACTAGGTGAGTAGAAGTACTGAGTTATGTGGATATAATGTGCCACTTAAGATCAGTAAATATTTAAATATTTATTCCTTGTTTTCAGAAATTGATTTAGGGAGACTGTCAATAAGTCATGTTAATTTTTCAAAATCTTTGTTAAAATGGATTGTTTTGCCTTAATCAGTGACTCAGAATAGTTTTGGTTTTATTATGGAATTTATGAAAATTCGTATTTCATTCAGAATTCATTTTAATTCTGATACATAGATGAGCAGAGAAGGTGGTGGTGGTGTTATTTTCATACATTTTCATACATGGCATATATTCGTATTTGCTGAGCATTGAAGATGGAAGTGTTGCTGCTGCCTTTGCTGGGTTTGTTATTTTGATGTGTTACAGGTTCCAGGGAGACCTTGTGGCCTTTCAGTACTTAAAGGGGGCTTATCAGAAAGATGGGGACAGACTTTTTAGCATGGCCTGTTGTGGTAGGACAAGGGGTCATGGTTTTAAATTAAAAGAGGGTAGATTTAGACTAGATATAAGGAAGAAAATTTTTACAATGAGGGTGGTAAAACACTGGAACAGGTTGCCCAGAGAGGTGGTGGATACCCCAACCTTGGAAACATTCAAGATCGGGTTGGACGGGGCTCTGAGCAACCTGATCTAGTTCAAGATGTTCCTGCTTGTTGCAGGGGAGGTTGGACTAGATGACCTTTCATCTAAGGACCTTTCTTTAAAGTTCATTTAGTCCAACCTTTAAAGGTCCTTTCCAACGCAAATTATTCTATGATTCTGTGACTTTTGAAACATGTTAATTCATCATCTTTCATCTTTCAAATGAACCTTTTAAAATGGACAAAATTCAGTCTTTGACTAAAAGATGATGGTCTGGTTTAATTGTTGGGAATTAACCTGAGATTGGGAGAGCTGACATCCTGAGTTCTGTTTACGAATCTGTCACACGCTTGCCTTGTGATCTTTGGCAATATTCTTGTTCCTTTTACCATATCTTCCAAATTACAAAGTTGTGACAAGATATTTGATCTTTTATATACTTTTTAGGTCTTTTCAAATAATTTCAATGGTTTTCTTATTCCTTACTACTTTTAGATAGAATTGGTGAAATGATGACTGCAAATTAGATTTATAAATTTCATCTTGCTGGGTGTTTGTAAAAAGTATTTCATAAATATTACTTTCCAATTTCATGAACTTTGCTGAAATTTGTTTGATATGTAAATTTCTATAGCAAACTTTTCCAAAAAAGAGGATTGTGTAGGCTGCAGATCTCAAACTGTTGCACTCTAGAAGAATCTTGCTTCTCTGTGCTGAAATTGGGTAGATCTTTCTGGTGGCAATTAGTTTATTTGCAAAAGTATATACTTGGGTTTGGGACTCTGTCTTTTATTGTGTTCTTTCCCTCTTGTGCTTTTTTATTTGCAGCCATTTCTGTTCCCATCTTGCCATGTCTCCATGGAAACTCGGGGACAATTCTGCACTCAGAAGGCTGTATTAAATAGCAGCTGGGGTTAGATGGAGAAGACAGGTCAGAAGCAAGACATTGTAAACAGAACATTTTCTCCCTCATGATTTTAGGTGGAAAAGTGTCCTTTGGAGTTTGTTTTTTCTAATCCTCCACACATATCTCGGTGGTATTTGGGAATGTTGTCCTAGAGTTGAGGGTCTTCAAAGGAATTTTAGGAAAGCTTAACAGTAGCAATGCTTCTAGAGTTGAAGTCAAGACTGCTTATTTTGCCTTCTTGTCCTGGTGGCGGTAAGAAGGTGCAAATGAGATGAGAAAAGCAGCTCTCCGATGGAGGAACATAATCCTTGCTCTTGTATAAATTTGTTTTTGACATAAAATATCTCTGTAGGTCGCATGGTTAACTGCCATAAGCATAGTAGGCAGCTCTTGGTAACTCATTCCAAACTTTCTTTTCATCTCATTGGGTTTGTTCTTTTCCACATTCTTCTCTAAGCTCTTGTTATGATATGTTTACTAATATTTTTTGTACCAGAGGGATTCTTATAAAAATAGGAAATAATTATTTCTTTTCTCATTTTACTATTTGGTTCTGACAGTGACTGGCTGATACTTTTGCTGTGATATCTTCAAATCTGGTTTTGTAAAACGAGTGTGATTGCATATTAGAAAAGAGATTATTTGCTTTTGGATGTCTTTTTCATCCTTTTTTTGCTTTTATAAATGACTTGAGATGAACAACGGATTTAAGATAACATTTGTTTTTTAAGAGGTTATATATTTATGTGTTTGTCTACTAATCATGGTGCTCAGCAGTGACTATTAGACTGTTCTAATTAATGTGGTTTCTTTTCCTAGTACGTTCTCTTGGCTCCATTGCACTTAGAAAAGCAGAAGATGTTGACTTCAAGTATCATTTTGATTTCTTCAGTGTCAACTTTAATGAGGAGTTGGTTGCATTGTATGGTGGTAGTCTGCAACGACAGACCAAGTTCGTGCATGAATGCATAAAAGTAATTCTTAAGTTGTACAGGGTAAGTAATGACATCTGCAGAATAATGTACTTGCATTTTGGAATGGGATTCTGGGCTGCCTTTTCTGCTGGAAAACTGAAGAATGATGAGTAAGGGAGGGAGACTTTATAATGTGCATATGTAATTCAATGTGATAATAGTGCAATAGAGAAGTGCTGCTCTTTAATAGATTTTTAATGCTTGTGACAATCCCAGAGCCCTAGTGTTAGGTCCTATATTATGTTTCTAAATAAATACTTCCATGCACAATGTATGCTTTTTTGTAGTAGAGATGTAAACTTTCCCTAGCTTATTAAAATACTAGTATAGCATCATTTTACAACCAGTTGTGTCTAGGAAAGTTCTTTGATAGCTTATTTACCTAAGAGCCTCAGAAATTAAAATAAGCTGAAGTTTCTTATGCTGATGTGAGCTGTGTAATATTTCCTTTTGAGCTGCAAACGTCATGTTAAGCACATTTTTTGAGTTAGCAACTAAATTTATATATTTTTTTAAAACTTGTCAAGTTGATACTCGTTAATATTATCCTTGAGAGGACATAAGTTAATTTGGGGGAAAAAAAATGTTCAACTGATAACCATAGTTCAATGTGAAATCTATTTTTGATGTGTGTAATTACTCTTTGCTTAAGGATCGAGAATTTGCACCGACCAGTGTTGCAATAGTAGGTCATTCCATGGGTGGTCTTGTTGCAAGAGCGTTGCTCACTCTGAAGAATTTTAAGCCTGAACTTATAAACCTCCTCATTACGCAAGCCACACCTCATGTTGCACCTGTAATGCCTTTAGACAAATATCTTACTGGTAAGTATTGCAGGTTATCTAATTACATTGTATTTCTTTATTGATCCTCTCAAGCATTGATAGGTGACATTCTTGCAAATCAACAGCAAAATGTGCTGGTTTGTTTATTGTAATTAATCTGTTCCTTTGTTACTTGGGTGGTTGTGTGAGAGCGCTAGGATACTGACAGAAAGTAAGGTGTCATCAAATGGATTATGTGTACTCGAGCTCCTGTGCAGGGCCTGGAACTCTCAATAATTTCTAATTTTAGTAAGTTGTAGAGCATGTTACTGCATTTGTAAGTTCTCCAGCAAATGACATTTTTTCTTTCTTTTTTATAAAACTTGACCTCTGTAATGGCTTTCTTTATCAAATGCATTGCCTAGAGTTGTTAAATTTAATGTTTGTCATGCTCAAAGGTTGGGGGGGTGAGAATATTAAATATAGCTATAATTATATATTTTGTATAATATAATTACACAAAAGATAGGTTGTATTTTCTGCTCACCTGAATAACTGTGGCATAAAAAAATGAAGTATAATCTTTATGCATGTATTATATACACTTCTTGAAAAATCTAGATTTGACTAAACTATACTTACGAAACACATGCTTGGTCATAATTGTGCTGCTACATGTAGATGTTGAGGGAATTGGTGAAGGAAAGGGAATACACATTTATTTTCATTATTCTCTGGCACTCGAGAGGAATGGATTATCTTTAGCTGCTGGATTTGATTTATCGTGCTTGTATTAATTCTCTCTCTTACAATTGATTGCAATGCAACACTTCTTCCTCGCTGACCATTTCTGGACTGTCGCTGTCCTTAAAATAAATCTGGGGTTTGCTACTCAAACAATATGTGTGCTCAGCTGATATAGAAGGTGTAAGTGTATCTCTCTTTCCCAACTGCTACCTTCTTGGGGTTAAAACAATAATTTTCTTTCCTTATATGAATCAAAAGTGATAATTGGAGCTTGAATGCCTCTAGGGGCGCTTACAGAAACTTTTAGTTAAATGTTTCTGTAACTTTTTTGTATATCAAGTAGACTTATGGGGAAATTGTGATTGATTTTAATATATTTTATAGATTATTTTTTGTACAGCTTTCTATAGCTTTTTTTTTGGTATATCAAATAGACTTATGGGGAAATTGTGATTGATTTTAATATATTTTGTAGATTTTTATACAGCTGTAAACAATCACTGGATTCTAAAGGCCCAAGATTTAAGAAATTTAACTACCCTTTCTGTGGCGGGAGGATTCAGAGATTACCAAGTTCGTTCAGGACTGGCTTTTCTACCAAGATTGAGTCAACATGACAGTGCCTTATCTGTTGTGGTAAAAAAAGCAAACTATTTTTTTGGTTTTGCATGGGGAGCTATGTTAGATAGCTACTTATGTAATGCATGTATTGGTGTCTAATTATATGTGCAGCATAGTATAACTACATATTAAATTACTACATGTGAAAACACAAAGTAGATAGTGTATGGTTATAAAACCATAAATAGCTGATGTAGTCTAAATAAGTGTCCACTGGAAGAGGATGTGTTGAGGTGGATTTGAATCATCTACCACTCGGTACTGTTTCTTCTCACCACCTCCTTAGTTTCAGAACTCAGGTTTTATTTTCCTGCGTTTTTACAAGAGATGTGTGTACGGAGACTGACAGATGTGCAGTATAGGAATAGACTGCTGGTTTGATTATAAAAGACAGCTTTGGCTTTGAGCTTTCTCTTTGTATTTACTGTTTTTCAAAGAACCTGGGAGTAGAAAGGATCCACTGGATCATCAAGTCCAGTCTTCTGCAGTTGCAGGCATCTATCTCCTTCCAAAATTAACCAAGCAACATCAGAAAAGCAGTTAGGTTTGTCACTCCATCCCCCCGCCATCAACTTGTTCCCAACATGGAAGAAGCTGGAAAAGACTCTTCAGCAGGAAGAAAATCTGTAATTTCCAGCTTCCATTTACTGCGCAAGCCAGCTTTTAAATGCATTCTGACATTAACTTGAAATGTTATCTGAAGTAGTTGTTACTCCCTTGGTGTTTACCTCCCTGTCCCTTGTACAGAAGCTGTCTATAAATAGCCTCAGCCCTGATTGTGCTAGGCTAAGAAGATTAACTCTGCATTCCCTTTTTTCCTAGTAACCATTCTCTGCATCTGCTGTACTTTCATTTCTCGAGTGTTGGTGACCAGAATTTTGCCTGAGATCTTGTGTAGTGCTATTGGTTCTCTCTCATGTTTTTTTGGTTTGTCGGTTTTGGGGGTTTTTGTTTTATTGTGTGTTGGGGGTTGTTTTATTGTTGTTGATTTGTTTGTTTTTTTCTTCTCGGCTGTAATGTATCATTAGTTCAGAGCTTACTTGAATCACCTTTCACACCTAGGTGATGAGCTCCATTTATGGGGGGCATTTTTGATATCGTTAGTCCCTAAGATGCAATACGTGCAGTACACTTATACAAATGAATAGCTTCAGACTGTCCGGTTCTTTCTGTATCGTCTTCTGGTGCTCCTTTCTGTTGAGGATGCCCTTGCTTTTTCAGCAGCACCTTTCATTCACATGCTTCTATTCTTGTGTGCCAGGATCGCTTATTAAAATAGTAAGATTAGTCATAGAAGCAGTCTTTGAAGAAATTTTTGGTAAGTTTCCTGCATACTGTTATTTGCCCTTTCACCATTAGTCTCTGCTATCTAACATAGATAACTTAGTCATTTTGTTTTGCGAGTCCTGTTTTACAAGTGGTTCAGCACTTGTAAGATTTCTGCGTGAAGAAGTCATTCTATTGTACCCTAGTCCCTGCAACTCTTAAGATAAACACTGTTCTTTTTAATAATTGTGCAAATATGTTTAAATAAGGAGGGGAAAGGCTTGCTTAGAATTTTAAAATGTTGAATGTTAACAAAATCTTAACTTTTTTCCTTCCCCAAACAGAGCTCAGCTGTTCCTAGAGCCTGGGCCTCAACAGACCATCTCTCCATAGTGTGGTAAGCTAATGGAACAAAGGTTAATTGACTGGCCATACATCCCTCTGTTCTCTACTGTTATCACATGATACAATAATATAACTTCAGCATAATATTATAATGTCTCTTCTGACCACCTTTATTCCCCTAGATATTTCCTTTCAAGGTTTAATTTTACTTGTTCTGCCTTCTAGGTGCAAAGAATTGATCCTGGCTACCATTAGAGCTTTTTTTGATCTCATAGATGAAAATACAAGGCAGGTTTGTATATGTGATCTCCTGTATATTTCCCCATCACACTTTCTTCTTCCATCACAGAATGCTTAATCAGGACAAATATCATCCTATTATACAGAAAACTTTTTTGATTATTCTAAGTCACGCTGAGGAAATTGGTGCAGTTTTGTACCAGTCACTGAAAAATTGTGTGGCTTTGTGTTGTTTGACCAACATGTCAAATAATTAGGTGTTGACTCAATTTTTATTATTGATTGCTTGATGCTTTATAGCTGGGGTGTAGACTGAACTTTTCTTCAATAATGCAGCAAGTTTAGTTGACCTTGCACCAGGATAAGCAAATTTTGCTAGCTGTGTAGCTTTGAATGTGACCTCTCAATGTGTGTTTAAGTCACGTTCTCTGACTAGTATACAAAAAGGTGAAAAACAGTGATGTTTAACTCAGACATAAATACTTTTCAAACTTCCCTGTGTGTTGTTCTCACAGTGGCCAACACCAGCACCTATTTGTGATGTTCTTTTGTAAATAGCACTTACAAAAATAGAATGCAAGTAAAATACTAGCATATATGTTTACTTCCAGCTACCCTTATTTATTGCTTTTTCTAAATAAATATGCTGCATCTTATTTTTTTAAAACTGTTGGAGAAATCTCCCGTTGTACTCTATTCTCTTTCTGAAATGTTATGCAGCAATAAACATGAATTAGAATTAAGGTCCAAGAGGTTGAAAATATGTTAGAGCAGAGCCCCAGACATAGAAGAGGAAGGCTTCCAGGTGTTCTTTTTGGGGCTGTTTGGGGCAGACTTCTCTAGTTTCTTAGGTGTACTTGCTTTAACATGTGATTTAGACAAAAAGGGAGTACGGTTGTTCTGGAGTTTACTGGCAGTGTACTGGAGGGTAAAACTTTTCAGAAATCAGTTATAATGGCTACAATTTTGTAAAGCTGTGTAGGCAAAAATTAGTCCTGGAAATTTGGGGTTGGGGGGGGGACGGGACCAAAACAACAAAACCAAACAACAACAACAAAAAAGCAACAAATGAAAGCAAGTCCCAATATAGCTCTACAGCTATTTGGATGCTTCAGATATTAAGACAAGATATAGTAAGTTGTATTTGTGAACCCAGACTAGTAAATATAAATGAGAAATTTTTTCCTAAACTCTGGCATAAGTGTGTTATTTCAGGAAGAATGCCTGTGTGTCTATAAAGAAAGTTTAATAGAATGTTTTCCTTGTGTTCAGAGTTTGTGAGGATGTAAAACTCCTAAAAGTTTTAGCTATGCTTTATAACGTGTAGACCTTCTGTATTGCAGTGATTGACTATTGATGGCACTTTATTTGTTCAGATTATTGAATTTAGCGTAGAGAGTGTACCATGTCTTCTAACAATCTCTCCTGCATCTCATCCCCAAAGCTGTGTTGCTAGCTATGATCACGTCTTGATTGTAACATAAATTGATTATAAATTTACACAAATTGGTAAAATAAAATTTGACAGTGTGTTCTTTTTTTAGATAACTGATGATCCAAAGAAGAGAATGTCTGTACTGAATCATCACTTTGTGAGACACCCTGCAAAGATATTTGAGGAAAATCCTGAAGCTTTTACGGAACTCACAGGTGTGCAGCAGTTTTCTTTTGAATGGGATTCAATGATACTCCTTAGTGAGATTAAGTATTAACAAACAACCCTCTGGAATACATTTTGGTCCTTTTTCAGACATTGCTAAAATGATATACGGGTTATAGACCTGAACTATCAGCTTTTGTGTGGTTTCAGCACTAAATAGTTTAAAAGAGGTAGGAGCAAAAATCCGTCACTTTTAAATGGCTTAGATTCTGGGGGACAAGCAGGAGTCGTATTTACACCAGGGTGTCCAGTAGGCGATCTCAGAAATTTGGAATAGTGCGATGTCAAAAGTACAGTGTAATCTATGGTTACTAGGTTCGCAAGAGGGATAGTATGGGTGTTGTAGAGCCATTGTATTAGTTTCATGCTACTCATGGAAATCCTGCATATTCAGATCTGCTTCATCAGTGACTTCCTTTTTTTCATGACATGGCAGGGTAAAATGGACTGCATGCTAACGGTTTCCTTGTAACTGCTAAGAATGCATAGTTAAAGGTGAGAAATTTTGACTGCATGGAGTCTCGGAAGCTAAACAGAACTTTTGCAGGGCACAGCTGTATTCCTAGTTTTGCTGAAGTGGGCTGAACCATTTTATGAAAACCATTTTATTTCAGGAATTTTCTTAATATAAGCTATTGCAGAAGTACTAAGGTAGCTGGAACTTTGTCCAGTTTTGGCCACCCTGGTATAAGGCAGCATTTAGGCATTGACATATACTGAAGTGAGTATGGAGCAGAGGACCAACAAAATGGTTAGCTCCTGGGGCATAGGACGGTAGTGGGGAGAGGCTGAATGAACTGAGTTTTTTTCACCCTAAAGAGAATGCTAATTGCTGTCTTCAACTACCTAATGAAAGATTGGAGAGAAGGTGAAGCAGGGTTTTTCTCAGAGGTGCACAGTGATAACACAATAGGCAGTAGAGTCCAGTTAGAACAAAAGAAATTCCAATTTGATGTTAGGAAAAAAGTACTTCACTGGGAGGGTGGTCAAACACTGGAACAGGTGCCCAAAGAGGTTGTGGAGCTGATTTTTTTTGTTTGTTTGCCCCTTTTGGGGTTAGTTTTTAGCAATAAGGAAGAACATGTTTAAATGGGATTTCATGTTTGCATCTTCCTATTTATGGTGACCTCTTGACAGCTAAATTTGTGATGAACTTGTTACTCTAGTTACATAGAAGAAAGATATTAACCTTCTTGCATGACGATTTGCATTGTCTGTATCTCTGATCTCTTCATTATTCCGTCTTACTCTTTTTCTCTAGACATGTGTCTAAACTGCTATTTTTTTACTTGTACGTGTTACTCACTTCATCCTTGACTTGCTTCTACACAAGTTTCTGTACTAGTTTTCTTAAAAGGCTGACAGGAAGAAGGGTTGGGGCTGTTTCTAATGTTGCCTCAGCTTTAATCGGTCACATATCCTGTAATTACACTCGTATCATTCATGTTCTTACTTGGTTTGTTGCCTTGAGAGCCTTGTTTTAAGATCCATAGGGTTTTTATTTTACAATTACTATGGAGTAATTGGATCCAAAGGTTTTGCTGTTTCCTGTGTAACTGATGATCACTGTTGCATGTAATTCAAAGCAGTAGGAATACTGAGAGTTGGTTAAAGTTTATGAAGTTTATGGGCATTTAGGATAAGAGATAAGACCTTGACTATAAGTAAAAGGTGAGATTTTGGAGAAAAGGATAATAGCTCCTGTGGCATATAAAAACATGTTTATTTTTAGGAGCTTTCATGTGGATTACCGTCAAAGCCTCAAAATGGACTTACTCATTTTACAATGTAAGTAACACTTTTTCCTCATTGTGTTTTTATGTTTTTGTTTTGGGTTGGTTTGTTGTTGGTGTTTTTTTTTTTTTTTTTTACTAATGAACAATCTTTTTCTTTTAAGGATTCTGATGGAAAATATTTCATATTTCCTCTTGCAAGCCACAGAAAATCATACAGTCATGTTTACTGTGAAAACAGTATGTTGGTGAGAAAATACTACTTTAATGTCTGGAGTTTTTTTATAAAGATGTGTTTTTTAATTTAGATTCGCTGCTGGTTTAAGACAGTTTAAAGAACAGTTGTTGAAATTTCTGATATCTGTTTACATTCACAGCCTAATACATTGTGTTAGATGTACTTCCTGTTTTAGCATGTAATGCTTAGTGTTCAAAATCTGAAACCTTCAATGCCACCTCAGATGTTTTATTTTTGACCCTCTTATGGTTAGCCCCAGATTACTTTCTCCTTTAATTTAAATTTAGTGCAGTTCTGTGTTTATGGTTTTGAATTAAGAAGTTATTTTTAGTGCTGCGAGGATTCAGCCATACTTCTAATTTGGGAAAGCTGTTTATAGGTTTGCTTTCTCATAATAAAATTTAAGTGAGTCTGAAAGGCTACAGAGGTCTTCCACTTAGCAGTGGAAGTGAACGGAAGCCAGATGAGAAAACAGCAACTTCTCAGTTGGTCTCCTCTGTCGAGAGGAGAGGCCATAATGTGCATTTCTTCTGTTTTTAGCTCAAGACACATAAATTCAGCCAAAATGTTTCTGAAATCCTTTTAAAAATATTTTTTGAAAGGTATGAATGTAATCTCTTGGCAAACTGGAGATGGCTAAATATGCTTTTCAGAATTACATGAGTATTTTGGAAGTGGCAAGAAAATTGAGATGCTTTCCTGTTCCATCCTGCCTGTCCCTGTTGCCACTCCTCCCCCTACCAAAGAGGTTCATACCACTATTGTGAAAAAAGATTGTATATTCATAGTGCTTTTCTAATTGTCCTTCCCAGTATCACCTTCAATATTTACACATTTATTGTGATCTTAGTTGTTACCCTTTATAGGGTAACTTTTGCCTTTGCTATAATATCTTGGGCAGGACTAGTACTGCTTGAGGGGGAGGAGGTACAGAACAGTGTCTGAGATACTTGCGTCGGGGTGCTATTGCTTCAGAACACTTAAATGCTTGAGGGGGGAGCAGTAGAACATTAAAAATCTAAAGTATTCTTCAACTACTTAGGATAGTACCTTGAGATGTTTCTTTTAGTTAGAAAAACTCTAATAAAATGGAATTTTACATTGTACGTAAGGCAGATTTTTTTTTTAAAGAGAAATGATGAAAGTTTGTTTGCTTAACCTTGTATTTGTTTTTAGAAAATGTATTGATTCATAACTAGAAAAGGTGGCAAATGGAAGTTATTTAAAATGGTTCCTCTAAACCACCACCTTTCACTTTTATGTTTCATCTTTCCTTCCTTGTAATTGTAATTCCAAGATTATGGTATCATAATTTTAATGGAGGATATCACTTGCTGTTAACACAGAAGTGTGACTTCATTGTGAAATGAAGAAAACAAGTTGGTGGATATCTTTCATTATAAATAATTGAGGAAATCTGAAATGGACTGTTTTTATCATCATCTTAGCTTTTACACTTCAACATATGACATCCTTATGAGAGTTTGTGACTATAGCGATGGCTGCTGCAGACACACTTAATAGAAAAGGAGTGAGATGAAGATGGAAGTTTGTTCCACTTTGTTAAATTAATTGCACCAGGGTTTTGCTATCAGAGGATTTTTAGAACAGTTGCTGACATCTGGTGTACTGAAACAGCATATAGAAGTTTTAGAGAAGATTATCAGCATGAACTCCTGCGTTATTTGGAGTAAAGAATTGCTTTTTAAAAAATATATTTATAAATACAGTCGCACATAGATAATGTACTGTTTTACGGTATTGACTTTACAGGACACAAGTAGCTGGATTTATGGCTGTATGAACAGTAATTCATCGATGTGGTAAGTATAAACAGTTCCTGTTCTTTGTTGAAATGGATCTTGTGAGACTACATTTGATTTTAAAGCATAAAAAAATATCCTTCTCCTTCAGAAGGAAGAGATTGGGAAGAAAAGTAAAATCTTTACTGTGAATAATTCAGGCTTTTTGTATCATCAAGAAAACAGGAAAGAATAGTTTCTCTCAAAAGTACTGCATGAATACAGAATAAAATAAGTGAACTTTTTCTTCTTTAAGCTATGTCTTTGACCTTCATAGTAGTGAAAAGTTGCTCCTATTGCTGTCTTGTGGACACTACATGCTGTGCTGTGTTCCTAAATTGTGTGTTTTGTAGCTTCTCTTTAGAATCCTATCACAAAACACATCAAATGTCACTCAGAGCCTTCAGAAGAATGGATTGAAGCATCTCTCTTATTTTTTTTCTTATTCCAAAATTCCTGTTGCCCTATGAAAACTATTGAGAAAAGTGGGTGATTTAGTGATTATTTGAATCAGGTCATTACAAAATGGATTTAAAATGCTGGCTTAGCTTACATTTGCAAAGCAAGCTCAAAGTAGATTCAGTTCACCCTTCAGGTTAGGGAAAGCTTCCAGGTGGAATTGGGCTAGTATGGTGTTTATCTGTTTTGGGATCTGGGCTGAGGTGTATAGCCACAGTCTTGCCTCCAGCTGATAGCCAGGTGTCATAATTACTTTTTCCTGATCTGAGGAGAAGTTGACTGTTACTTCTTTGTATAACCTTTGATCAGCATCAAATGCAGGTTAGCCTAGTTCAGGTCTGCTACCTAAAACCTCATCTAATAATAGTGGTTTTGCTGTGGACTGTGCCCTGAGGTCATGTAACATTTAGAGAAATGGAAGTATCCTGGTATTCTAAAAATCAAAACTTAAAATGACTGAATGAATGTGTTGCAGTTCACTGTGTAGGTACACACCATTTTAGAACTGCTGTTAGCTCTGCAGCAGCTAACAAAATTTTTGGTTTATATGGTAAGTTTTAGATCTTCCCCTAGGAAAAATTGGTACTTGTGATGTTTGAAAGATGCTAATGAAACTGTGTGTTAATTCAATGCCAGTGCTGGTTTAGCTCATTAAGAATTTTCATCATGTGTCTGAAGTTGCGTGGCTAATAACTGCTGAATGTTTTGTGTATGACAAAGTTAGAGCTTTGCTTAACTTGTTTTGCAAAAACAAGATTTGCAGTATCTGAAATTATTATAGTTTGATAAATTACTATGGTAGCTAACTTGTTCTCAATTTAAAATCGTGTGAATCCATATATATATAAAGAAAAGCCGACACTGTTAATCCACTGTCATAATGTATTGCCTGCATAATGAATATGCTCATCCTTTACTGTGCGTGAATTTTTACAGCCTGGAAGCTACTGATTTATCCTGGAGAGCTGAGTTACTTCCAACCACCAAGGTAAGTATCGTACATCATTTGAAGAAGGCAGAGGTGCTTTGTGGGGTAGTTGCATGTCATGGGAGAAGGATCTGTTCTGTTTACAGTATTGGAACATGCAGTTGTATTCCAGAGGAAGGGGTACAAGAGGTGGATGTTTGGGAACTAGCCAGTGGCAAGCTAAAGCATATGTTCAGTAATGGCTTTTCTTTTTTTTCTCTTTTTTCCCTTTTGTGTTTGTTTTTGGGGTTTTGTTTGTTTGTTTTTTGGTTTTTTTGTTTTTTTTTAGGTTGTAGTACTGAAACTTCAGGACTATCCCTCTTTGTCCCACATTGTCATTCAGGTACCACCCACAGTTGGCAAAAAGGTAAACAAAAAATGAAATGCAGAAATTGCTTAGTGTGTTCATAGCTTTCAGATGCTATGATGAAAGGAAAAGAAAGTATATTTAATATGTACGAAGTTATTATGAGAAACCATAGACCTACACTATTGTGGTTTGAAGGTAACTTTGACATCTTCTGTAAGCTCAGAAACATTTTCATTTGATAAAATACCAAACGCAAGGCATGAATAGTACTTGAAACATATAAAGTGACAGTTCTCAAAATAGTTCTTAGAATTCTTGTTGGAGATTCTAATGTTCTTCTCCCTTGTTTTTCTCAATATTCTGATTGTATTCCTGGATATTTATCTTTTTGAACAGTCAGTTCTCTTATCCAGGGTAGCAGAGAATGCTGTAGATAACTGAAGACACCACATATGGATTCTGGGGAGCTTGGTACAGATACCTCTGCAAGCTCTGAGACCACAAATAATCTGGTAGACTGAGTTGTGCAGAGTTTAATAGTTTTGAATCTCACGGATGAGTTGGATAGCTTTGCATCAAGGCCTCTCAGGATCCCAGAAAGAGGAATGCTTGCAGTGAATCTAAGCAGACTGTGTGTATTACCCAGCTGGGTCTGGCAGGCCTTTCTAGTTAGTCCTGGAAATGGCAGAGCACTGGACTTGAATTTAAAGTCTAAGTAGATCTGATATTCCTTTCTGCAATACAGTTCCAGTCTCTGGGTCTGTGGTATAACAATCCCCGATCCAAGAAATTACAGCTGAAGTGATTATAATGCTTCTCGATGAGTGTATCTTCAGATAGTTGTGACAGAGACATCTTGCAGTTAAATTAGTAATATGCAGTGTTCTTGATATGCAAAGATAGAAGAGAGATCACTTGTGAAATGTAACCTGCTAAGTTGCAGTCCAGTGTTAAACCTTGGAAACTGCTTTTAAAAGTAAACAAATGCTGCGTTTACAATGGGAGGGAAAATAATTTTCAAGTGAACTAAATACTTATTAGAGATGGACAACTCATACCTGCTAGGTATTTTGCTTTGCTTTTGCACGATTAAACTTTAGGAGAAAAACTGAAGAGGTTTTTTGCTTAGGAAATTGTATCCAGAGTTTGGACAAGTCACTCTCCTTTGCAGCACTAGTCCCCCACCACCCTTCCCACCAAAAAAGAGGTACCTGAGAAGGAGGGGTGTGAACTGGATTCTAGTCATTCTCAGATGTTTGAGTAGCCTTTCGAAGGCTGTTGCAAATGGGTGAGAGCCAGAGTAACCTCGAAGTTAAGCTTAAGCTACCCAAAGTTTTGTACTGCTGTGTACTGGAACAAACTACCCACCAGTCCTTGTTGGTGGAGTGTGGAGAGGCAGCTTTTCAGTATTTGTGTCCTGTACTCTGCCTGAGCCTGTGAATAGAATTTGGCAAGTGCAGAGGCTTGTGCTTGATTTAGAGCTGTGTTTCATATCCTGAATTTCAGTACACTTTGAACTGTGAATTCTTCAAAGAGGATTCCAGAACAGTACAGCTTCCTGTAACGCATCTTTTTTCATTTGGTAAGTATAGCATATTACTTTTGGAAAAAAATGGAAAACTAATATTACTAACATTTGGACAATAAAATTGCCTAAAAATTCCAATGGTCAGGGAGGTTTTGGGGAGTTTGTTTTACTAAAGTTAATACTGCTCTACTTAGACAAAGAAATAAGAAATGTGGGGGTTTTGACTAACAAATATAGGGGCATATAAGTTTCCTGGAAAAAAAAATATCTGAAGATGTAGTGAGTTCTCAAATAGTTTTTTCTAATATATGAAAATAATACATTCCTTACAGGGCTTTCTTCAAGCAAAATTCTTTTAAATTCAACTGGCTTACTTTACAATGTACAGCTCCAGCACTTTAATCAAGTAAGAATGGTACTTAATTTTTTTAAGCTAATGTGACCACTGTTTGGAGAATGTAAGTGATTTTTTTATTATTATTTTCTTTTTATTTTCTAGATATATCAAGCTTTCAAAATTTATATAGAGAGCCACTGCCAGTCACTCAGAGGTAAATATAAGTCTTGTCTAAAGTATAAATTTATAAAACAAAGCTTGTTGAAAATTCTCAAGACTGAAGCTGGTAGAAACAAAAGTCCTGTCATGCAGTGGGGTTTAGCTAGTACTGTTATAATCAGTTCAAGTGTGTCACTTTCCACTTTTTGTTAAGAAGGATAGTTCAAAGAAAATGTGGAATTAGTCCG